TGCAACAGTGCAATTAAAATTCAATTAACGTCTTATTTAAAAAGCCCTATGCAATTTCGGATCAATCGAGACGACATTCCGAATATATACGAACACGATTCGTACCGCATGAAATCGCATCGTGTAAAATTGATCTCATTCCCATTCACACCTCGAACGGTTACAAGCTGATAAATTAGCGAATTTATAGTTGCACGCTAAATTAAAGTGGGACATTATGTTTAGGCGCGATGATAGGCGGACTTCGCTACACACTAAAACGGATTACGTCGGTTAATATTAATGTTTACATAACAAGCTGGTCGGCGTAAACGTACGGAACGGCGCATCTACGTCGCCGGGCCGCAGCCACGGTGGAGCGGTCGGAACGAATAAGCGTTTCAAAATCGTAATATATCACGCGAGGCGGTGCCTTGATGGCTCTCATTGGTCACGTTGTTTGCATTAACATATCGCGGCAGCCGGCTCCGCCCCCCACGGTACGTCACGCCGCTTCGGAAGCTTGTTAATTAAGTATAATTAGCGTATCGTGACTGCCCCCAGATGCGCCGTTCGTGGGTCGACAAATCGCATAAAACACTATTCCTTAGACTTACGTACTCAAATCAGCGATTCGTTGCGCGAACGGTTCGATCATACAGAAGCGGTTCTATATTAAAGTTAAGTATAGTAAAACACTATGGTTGAATAAACATACCTTTAATAAAATTATTAAATAATGAAATTATGAAGATCCGAATTCTTAAATTATTTTAACACATGCATGACATGCACATGGTAGAAATAATTCAGCGGTTACTAAGATTAAGTTGTAGAAATATTTTGTCCTTGTTTAAATAATATCGTTATTACACTTAATTTTTCCTCATTTATGTAAAAAAGTGGAAATGTGGCTATGTTTATGTAAGCTTAAAACTAATGTAGGTAACGTTGGTACATTATTTATGTCACATTTTTATGATCTATAAATCCCTTAAACAATGTGGTTTTTTACCTACGGCAATCAATTGATCTATTTCCTATAGAGTCCAAAATCGCTGTCTCATTCTATTGTTATCACAAATAAATCGTCAATATCAACTTTGCACAAGTTTTGAAGCAAATTGAGGTTTCTGAGTCCGGCTGTTTTTAAATGAAGTGTCACTCACAGTCATGACCTCGAAAACTATGCCAATACACAATGTGATGTCCATTCGCGCAAAGCAACAAATCATAGGCATGCGCTGCGCGTCACGAGCGCACCATAAAAGGACCGCCACAACCCGAACCTCGTTCGAGTCCTTAGATTTATGTGGGCTGGTTTTGGTGCAAATTAGGAACGAGTCGTCGCCGTAAACATTGGCAAACGGGCAGTTTTGCCGCTCACACAACGCTCGAAATCTAAAAGTACTGTAGTTTTATGAAAGGTGTAGGTTGCTTTCCCAGATAGACTCTACTATTCCGCACCTCGTTCGAGTCCTTTGATTGGTACTTGATGTTGGCTGGTTTTGGTGCAAATTAGAAACGAGTCGTCGGCGCAACAGTATCATACGGGCAGTTTTGCCGCTCATACAACGCTAAAAACCTAAAAGTACTGTGGTTTTATGAAAGGTGTAGGTTGCTTTCCCAGACAGACGCTACTATTCCGCACCTCGTTCGAGTCCTTAGATTTGTTACTTGATGTGGGCTGGTTTTGGTGCAAATTAGAAACGTGTCGTTGGTGCAAACATTGGCAACGGGCAGTTTTGCCGCTCATACAACGCTGAAAAGGAAGAAATTATGAAAAGTGGTTGCTTTACCACATTTCAGAAAATCACAGTCCTTTTTGGTGGAGCTGTATTTTGGTGATTAATGTTCCAAGGCTCCACGAGATAGAGGTTAGATTCAAGTCACTAGGATGGATTAAAGCTCCCCGAGTCAATGTATTCTGTGGATGAAAGGCAACACTCTGATCTTCGCGACTGAACTTCACTTCCAAAAAACATTACGTGGGTGGAGTAATTTGCTTCATCACATCACCTAGTATATAAAGAAGCCCACTCAAATAATCTTGCAGTTTTGATAGATTAAATATCCCAATCTATATTCACGTAGTTTCATACCACAAGGAACTTTGGTCATAAGTTGTTGCATTTGGTGTATTCTGACAGTTTCGATGTGGACGACATGCTTTTACCTACATATGTATTTAATTTATTTACTCATAAGTAATTAATGTTTTGTATCAAAGCTACTTACATTATACATTGACACGAGGTATTTACGTACAAAGCTACATTATCTGCACTTAAAATAAATAAATTTTAATACAATCTCAGTAGTATTCTAAGATCTTATCCTAAATTGAAAAAAAAACCAAATTAATTCAACCGCCTAAGAGTAAAAAATTATAAATCTTTTTTATCTTTAGTCAAATTAATATTTGGAGACGGTGCCAGTGCCAGGCCAACCCAAGTAGTAAATGGGAAATCAGAAGTATCAGACCTGCATGGCACCGACTCCAAAAATTAATTTGACTATGGATAAAAAGATTTATTATTTTTTAACTTTCCAGCGGTTGAATGTTGTTGTCAAAAATATTTTATTTTACAATCTTTTGTGGCTATAATTTCAACTCGGCATCAAAATCTGTGAGTTTTCCACCCTTACGGTAGCTTTTTCCAAATTCATGTGAGACCAACTTTTATCCTTCCCAAAAAAAGGAATTATCAAAATCAGACTACTTTGTAAAAGGTTATGTGTGGTCATACATTACAATCAGTGAGTGAACAATCAATCATCCCCTGTTTTCGTACCCTTAAGGTTGGATTTTTTTTCCAAATTCATATGGGACCAACTTCGAGGTCTACCCTTTCCAATAAAAAAAAATAACAAAATTAGACTACTGTGTAAAAAATTACGCGTGGTCATACATTGAAAAAATATACGCGTTGACTTGAGAACCTCCTCCGTTTTTATCGTCAGTTAATAAAGCGAGAGATTTAATATTGGACACAGAACTACCTAACAACTTTCACATATACCCTCTTTACACAGAGATAAAAGGTAACTAGATCAATCAACGCACCGGCACTGTGATCTATGAAGTGTCATCCCGTAAGATAAAAGCCCAGTACCGCATCAATCTTCGGTAGCAGCATCCAGCATCCAGAATACGCCGCCGAATTACAAAAAATAACGTGACTCAAATCTACGACAAACGCCATCGATCACCCTAATAAGTACTAATAAAATAGTAATATAGTTAACATATAAGGCGGCCTGCGATTGTCTGATTCGATACCGAAAGTACGTGACATTACGTGGGTGATGCGCGTGCGCCGATCAATCATCCAGAATGAAGTTGTCCGAGTTATCGTACCACAATTATTGCTTATCATTTTTGTAATAACGCTGTAGAATACGAAAACGTGGGTTGGAACGGACAGTGAGAGTGGGTTTATACACACGTCATGGCACTGCACTGTTTTTTGCAGTATACTTATTTACAATTTAAGCTGTGGCGCATATATTGTACCGTACACACATCATTCATTTCATTCACTTACCGGACTTGCCATACAAACCGAATTCACTTTACCAGCGCCAAAAGGTGATGAACTAGTATTACAGCTAATCGTTTGTTAAACAAATGATAGTTTACCTTATTGCACACATCAATTGCAAGTTTAAATTCGATAACGTGCAGTACAGAGCCGTGCAAATGTGCATGCAGCTTTATAATATTAAACTTCACCAAAATACTGTATCACCTTTTCTAACTATCAATTGCGATTCACCAACTCAATACTCAAAGTAACTACACATTAGTCTATCAGATGCCGGCTAAGATTATTAACTTTCAATAACTGTGCCACTTACAGGCAAACCGTACAATAAATTCTCTCGAAAACTCTTAAATCACATATTTTCGTAAATATGTGATTTACGAAACTTTTCTTCATTGTACGAAAATAATTACCTAATACGGTTATTTTATAAAACAATTGTTGTTTCTTCATTAAATCACATTGTAGTTGCTTTTTATTAAATCAAATTGTAGTTTATTAAAGTAGGTTTTTTTTTTAATATAATGTGCCTTTTTCCCTTTTTTATCACACAAGAATAGCACAAATATACTCATTAATTACTCCCCAAAACACGTTCAAGCAAACTTTCAAAATCGGCTCGTTATTGTCAACTCGCATCCGTTGATTTATCTCCGTCGCTCGCGTAACACGAATCACTTACGAAAGAGGAGATATTTAAATTCATCCAATACAGGAAGAGCGGAGCCGTACCCCTCGACATACCTGTTTAGGATATTAGCAATTTGTTCGCAGGCAATATTTATAGTGTAACGAAATGTCCGATAAAACCGTGTTGATAATTAACTTGGAAACATCGTCGCTTCGGTAGCTGCTCCAGTTTTGATGTCGCAAGCGCGTAGGCGTGCGTCGAAGCGTAGGAGCCTACTACCGCCACCCCCGCCGAGGCGCGTCATTTCGCAAGCTTTAGCATACCGCATTTAGGATGTTGTCAAGGTTGTAGGAAGCGAACGCTGGACACGCCTAGCTGATCTGTATTTACGGTGGACTGTTGACATGCGACTTGCGGCCGTCTCATATTTAATTCTGTGAACTCGTGCGGGAAATACTAGCATAAATTAATGTTTATCAATGTCTTATTTGGTTAGACACATAATACCTAGGTAATAGTAAAAAGGACCAATGTCAGTTACGAGTATTGAGCGAGCAAACATTATAGCAGTCACTTAATGATGTGTAACATTTCACCTTGGTAATAATATATCCTACGTTACTAAAAAAAACAATTGAGCAATGACAAAAACCACAATCGCGCACTCTCATTGTTCAAATCATCCCCTACTTATCAGTCCCTTGTTACACACTTCCATTCCTCCCACTCCGTCAGATAGCATAATATAGAAAAGAATTATGTTACATATTAAAATCTGTTAGGTCTTAATTCTATTGTAGATTTGTAAGCAAATAATTAATGTAATATTTTTATTGTTTCAGGTCGGTGGCGCACGAGCCCGATGAGCGCGTGCGCGGCGGCCGCCATGCGCGAAAAGCACGCGGCGCCGCGCCGCCTCGCCTCCCCGCCGGCCTCCCCGCGCGACCACCGCGACCACAGCCCGCTCGGTTCCCCACGCATCGACGAGCCCCTCGACCTGCGAGTCACCCACAAACGCCCGTCTAGGTTAGAAGATGAGAACTGCAACCTGATCGCGCCTTCGCCGCCGCCGCATCCCACGCATCCCGCTCACCCTGCACACCCGGCGCTTCTTCAGTTTTGCCGAAGACTACCACTAGCGTTACCTGCCTCGTTCGGCCGGTACCCGTTCCTCCCGGCCGCTGCTGCGACGCTTCTCGCCCCAGGCGCGCCTAGGGCCCCACCCATACCTCCTAACCCGGGCGCCCCGCGAGCCCGCGACCGCTATACCTGCTCATATTGCGGGAAGGCGTTCCCCCGTAGTGCAAACTTGACGAGACACTTACGGACGCATACTGGTGAACAACCATACCGCTGTAAATACTGCGAGAGATCCTTTTCGATATCATCGAACCTCCAACGGCACGTGAGGAATATCCATAATAAAGAAAGGCCGTTCCGATGTCGTCACTGCGACCGTTGTTTCGGGCAGCAGACGAATCTCGACAGGCATCTGAAAAAACATGAGGCGGAGAACGGAGACGACGGCCGTCGACGGTCGCCGGATGAGACGTATTTCGAAGAGATCAGGTCGTTTATGGGTCGAGTGGCGCCCGCGGCACGCCGCGCCGCCGCCGCCGCCGCCACAGCCGCCGACCACACTTGATAGTGACCTGACAACACATTCGCCCTAACAATAATCTGGTCGATACATCCAAATGACTCTTGTGTATGTTTACGTGACATTAAAAATATAATTATGTGAGCTTAATGCGCGAAGTAGAGCTTCCGTGTTACGTTCGACGCGCAGAGTCAAAGTATTTTTCATGGAAAACACGCTAAAGCTAAAGTCCAATATAAGATATTGGTGCTGCAAAAAAACAGATTGTTGTGATTATAATTATTGTTATGGTCATTAATTATGTTTAAAACTGATACTCGCAAAAATATATCCAAATAGGTAAAGTAGATGCAATTGTTACCGTAAAAGTTTTCATGTCATGGTTCGCGCGACGGAATGGAATTTATCTTTTCTGAGCCATTTGTTGGCTACTAATGTTAAATAATTGTATAAATAAAGTGATAATGCATCTCATGTATGTACTTAAACTTGTAAATATATTAATACTTTTGAAGGAGTGTACAATACCGAATTCACTACCGATAGTATACAATTAGTACTTATGAATATATTCCTTGTCCTAAAGACAAAATAGATTAAAAGTAAGAGTCCAGAGTGTTCGAATAGAATTAAAATATATTTGATAATTAGAAGTACATTATGAGTGTAAGTAATTTGTATTATTTCTTATGTAAATTCCGCTTTATTCGATGTAATGTAATTAGTATTATTAGTCTGAAAGGAAACGCCGGTTACCAATAAAAATATATCTTGTTGCTTTATTGAAGATATTATAAATATTTTTTATCAGTTGTTAGAGAAGTTGTCTAACTACTCGAAATTTTTATATACCTTTACTTCGTGTTGCGTAAATTATTTTCTTTTTCGTTTTTTTTTGTATCGACATAGATCCATCGTGTTTGATACATTTTGTTAAGTTTCAGAATATTACGCAAATTAGAAATATTTTATCAATTATGTTTTGAGATTTTTTAATTAGAAATTTAATCGGGTAAGAGATTATGCGATCTAAAATGATTTAATCATGTACTCCAAATTACTAAATTTAAGATAATTTTAAAACTGTGATTTAATTAATTTATTACTGAAATGCAAATTGGTCACATAAATGCGAATGGAAAGTCTCTCTAAGAACTATAATTGTCTAAACGTTCCTTTTAAGTATAGATAGATCTCCATTATTGTTACGAGTAATGAATTTTACTGTGCTTTTCATTTCAATGGTTGAAACTTTATAATATGCAATAATACTTAATTAAATTAGAACGAAATAATTGTTTCCCTCTAAGTACAGCGATTAATATGTATGACTGATTTCATTGGTTATTTATTCTGAATGTACAAGATTTATAATAAGAGCAGAGAAATTTTATTACAAAACATTAAGATTGCCATGCTTTACAGTTATATGTCGTCTTTTAACCTATATGTCGTAACTACCAATGCTACTAATAGGTACCTATTTTTTGAATACAATAATGATCAATGTAACTATATTTGTTTGTCAGAATCGTTAAACACTTCATATTGACAACAATTAATTCATTAAACATAGTTATGGAAATATTTTATGTTTATACTTATTTTATTTGTGATGTTCTTGTGAAACTTGTACTTAATAAAAACAGAATTGAAATTGGTATCTTGCCAATTTAATACATCCAATTTAATGAGTGATAATTTTATCTGAAATTTGAATTAACATTAAACTACGATGTTTTCGTAAGAATGTAAAAACTGGACGTTGTTTTTTGTCCATTCACAATCCATTCATTACTTATAAAGGTATAATCTTTAAGCCCAAAAGTTAAGACAAATGAAAAAGGTTATAGTCATTGTCTTCACTCGTACCAAATCGCAACGAGATGCTATTTAACTTAACGTAGAATCTATAGGAAATAGAGATTATTACCTTTATCGTTTTGTACTTTTGATACTTATTAGTCGTTCAAAGGTCACCGATTACCTTGTCAAAAAGAAATAAATAACAATAAATTGATGTTGTACTTTTGATTTATGCTCCCATTATTCGTTTTCCCCATTAACATAATCTTATTAAAGCACATACAAGATCATATCTATTAAAAATGCACATAAATTTTCACAAATTTTCTTATAAATGATATATGTGTGTCTACCCTGAATCGATTATACTGAGGTCGTATATAATTGTTGATCGAAGTTTTAAACACTAAATTTGTATTAAAAATAGAGACATGAATATGTAAACCTAATTAATAACGATATTCCAAATTCATTTACAGTTTTGACAGCAGGTACATAAAATAGTAGACACCTAGGATATAGTCCTATGGGGAGAGCCTATACCCTAACAGTAGGGACATTAATAGGCGAATGATTAAAATAGGAGCTTATTAGATTCCTAAAACTAAATCTATTCCCACTAAAACATTTTTGAAGAACATCGTAAGTATAACATTTACTCCAGTTTGTATGGCTTAGGAATGTTTGCAAACTGTACAATATCTTATCAATAATTAAATGCATATTAAGAACGAATAGCATACAAACAAAACCAGATATGATACCTCATATGCCTCATATGGTACAATAAAAGAAAAAATCTGAAGACTTTCACTTGGTGATGAAAATTACATAAACCTATGTTTCAACAGACTAGGAAATCACGCATAATTACATACAGATCACCGTTTGTTCATAACAAAGTTCATATTATTAAAAGCTTTTAACAATTGAAAGATACGTCTATTGCGAATCTTTTTTACTGATCGCCCAAAGTAGCTCCAGCACTTCTCAAATTGGTACAAGGTGTAATAATTTATTATCACGATATTCAAGTAGGGCAAATCTTGACCTAGCGCCACCACACGTGCAGTCGCAAAAAACACATCAATACAAACAAGAAGTTACATAAAAAACACCGTCTAATACGTTTCAAATCGAGCGCCGCCATCTTGGAATCTAAGGGCGCCGCGGGCATGTCGCTTGCGCAGCCTCACGAGCGGCGTTTACGATATGATTATGCTTTATTGCCATTAATTTGCGACAAACGAAACCGCCCAGAAACATCGAGACCGCCATCTGCGGGCCAGTAAATTTATTGGAATCATTAGAGGGGCGAACTACTGGCCCTTTGGATAAGCTATTATTATTATAAAACTAACGTCCAGTCTACCTACTTTTAAGTAGGTTAATTCAGTATGTACCTATATGAGTAAAGTTACTATAAGGATAAATAAATATTTGCAAAACTCACACCAAATAGCCTAGCCCCAAACAAAGTATGTAGGCTTGTGTTATGGAATACTAGGGTAATTATAATAAAGTATAGAATATATATACTGATACATATATAAGTATATTTATATAGAAATACATAATAAACATGCATGACTAGACTACAAATGCTCGTATTCAACACATAAAAAACTGCCCCCACCGGGATTCGAACCCGGGACCTCTCGAGCAGCAGATCCGATGTAAACCCGGCGTACAAACCACTCAGCCACAGAGATCGTCAAGAATACCAGTAGATAAAAAAAGGTAAATTTAAAAAATCAAAAAACCCGACTGCTTAATCATACTTCAAATAAAAACTGAAAAGAAAAAAATAAGTGCAGTAGTCTATAATTCTGTAAATAAGGAACAAAGATACTTTAACAGTCGGGACCCATTAGATATTCAAGAATACATAATATTTTTCAATAATGGGTCCCGACTGTTAAAGTAGCTTTGTTCCTTATTAACAGAATTATAGACTACTGCACTTATTTTTTTCTTTTCAGTTTTTATTTGAAGTATGATTAAGCAGTCGGGTTTTTTGATTTTTTAAATTTACCTTTTTTATTTCACACTTTTTAGTTAGTTAGTATTTTAAGACGGTATATACCGTAGTCTTGTTACTTCAGTATGGGAATTAATATCGCGGGAATTATTAAGTCTAAAAGATTGATTTATTAAGACATATAAAGACTTTACCAGCGGGGTCAAGGCTACAGATGGGCCTCAATTTTCGCAAAAATGTGTGAAGTTAAATCAAGTCGTACATAAATATCTCTTATGTATGTAAATTTTATAGTAAACTAGCACTTACTCAAAAAGTCATCTTTTGTTTATGTTTTTTTTTAATAGTTTAGCAGTAAATATAAAATTCTTTACTTTTATTCGTCGACTATTTAAAATTGGCAGTGGCTGCATTGTCATGTCAATGCCGGACGTCTAAGATTGTGATATACACAAATTCAGTGTCAGTCCCTAGTCTCATAATTTGATAAACCTACATAATTCACAGAAACCCAATATGTAGATGCCAAAAGTTAACTTCAAATGTTTTTAATCACCCTATATACAATACCAATCAATGACGTTTATGTCGCAGGTTGAAGAAAGCAGTAATTCCCGTCTGTTGTTTTGGACAATGGTGGCAAATGCCTTAGATCACTAAATTAAATAATTATGCAATCACCATAGCAAAGTTTATAATATTTGATTAAACTTAAGGCGCATAATAAAATTTTCATAAAGTTAGGTAGAGCACCATAGCAATCTCATTTATTAACAATTTATAGTTCTCTTTGTAGTTTTCTTTTAAAGCGTTCACATTTAACAGGTCACAGACTTTGTGTTCGACCCTTTTTTATTGGTAGTGTAAAGCTCGAATGAAGAGTACTCCGAGTAGTGCAATCATGGCAATTATTTTCCATTTTTTTTTGTTTAAAAAAATACCGAATAACGTATCACTGTTAAGCACAAAATTAAATGCTAAGTAACTTTTACAAATATAATCAAATAAACCTATTACTTACTTTATTTTTAAATCGTTTTCATCAATTAAATACTTATCTTATCCTAACTATCTATACTAACATTATAAAGAAGCAAGATTTGTATGTTTGTAACAAATAATCTGTCAAACTACTGAACCGGTTTCAAATATTAATTCATCATAAGGTAGCTACGTTATTTATTATAACATTTTTCTTTATTTAAATACATTTTGTCCGAGTGACATAGGCTATATTTTATCCCGATAAATAAATTTCGCCCGTACAATGCCCGGGTGGATCACTAGTAAGTATAATATAATATTATAGATGCGAAAGTGAATTTGTTTGTTGCGCTTCCGTGCCCTAATAGCTAAATCGAATATATGAATTCCCATATAGAAGTAGATGGGAACTTGGTTCTTAGCTACAACATCGCAATACTTATAGGCGTAGGCTGATGAAAGGGGTGATTTACCTATAAAAATCTACATTATTTACTTAGAATTTTGCAGAATTATTACAAAACCAATATAATCGCGAGCTGATTAATAAATACAGGGATTCCAATAAGTATGTACTTACTAGCGAAAAATGGGTTATTTGTCATTATATTAAGTAAACCTTTTTTGTAACATTAAGTAATATCGTTAAAAAAAATGAAAAACAGTAAAATTCTGAGTTTTTCATTAAAATTCAATAATCATAAATACCTATTATGATAATATATTTTTCATCATTTAATAAGAAGGAACTGTATCACAGTTTTATTGTTAGTACTTCGTATAGGATCAGATACTGCGAATACCCTTTTTTTTCTTTTACATAGTACACCGCGCTATCACTTTGTCATCGTTGTAACTTTTTAAATATTTGTCGAAATGACATAGTGTAAAAAGCAAAGTTTATCGTCTTTAAATATGAAAAGCGATAAAAGTGTTTGTATGGATAAAAAATGATTTGTTAATACAAAATGTGCATTTTGGAAATAGATATCAAATAATATTTTAGTTTTGATTCACTATTTTAGCGGTAATGACTTACACATTAAAAATAGATATATGGTGTCACGGACTTTTTTTAGAACTATTTAAGAGATACATTTTCACTCTACATTACATTCATGTAACTTTTATTGTTTTTGCAGTGCAGGCCAAAATGGCTCGCAGATGGGAGATTTTTTTCCGTCTTATGTGACACTTATTGTTATATATTGGCCAATTCACTCAATAACTACATAAATTATTATATATATGTAATTATCATATATGAGCTATATTACTGTTAAGTTTCATTAAAATCCATTTAGTATTTTTTAGGTGAAAGAGTAACAAAGAACCATACAAACGTAAGATTGAAATTAAAAGCGTAAGTGGTTAATATACAACTTTAAAGCGTTGTAGATCCTAAACAATCATATAAAATGAAAAATGGTGTTAGGAACCTAAATATGATTTTTGATTATCTAGACAGTGATACCCCACTCGACATATTTTGTCAACTTATTTTTTTTACTTCGTCACAATATGGCGCCTAATGTTGCCCATATTGAATTTTGATTACTGTCATATCTTTAGTAGCACTCCCATGATTGAGACGAATCGATTGCTGTATGAATCATCAAAATCGGTCCAGGCGTTTGGTCCCTAGTGTGCCACAAAGGAACAAACATACATATATAGACTGTTAAACACATAACCCTGTCTGCGCGTCGCGCTTCGCGCTCTTGCATTGCGCAGCCGGGTAAAAAGGTTTTGTGTAAGCCGCAAAGAAACACCAACACAATATAAAATTAAAATACGACATGTTTTTACAAAAACGAGTAAAATGCGGCAAATTTTAAGCAAAACTTGAAGTATAGACTTTTTACCTAGGAAAATCATTATTCTTTTGGAAGAAAATATTTTTTCTGATATACATATAATTACTGACGGCAAATGAAATGGAATCGGAAACTGTAGTAAATGTAAAATAAAAACAAACGTGTACTGTACCCTTAGCACGAACCAATATCGAATTTGTAACGTTTGCGAGTACGAAATGTCATTGTCAAATGTGTACTGATTTTTAGTTCTCGTTACGTCCGTTATGTTACTGAAGTTCAAGTTTCCTTACAAAATTTGACACTGACATTTCGGACTCGCAAATGGTTCGTGCTAAGGTGAAAAAAAACCTAAAGGGTAAGTCTTGTTTTTTCTGTTGCCAAATGACGTCAGTAAGCCACCTT